AACTTGCAAATCACAATTGTTTGATTCATATCTGATCTCTTGTAGTCAAACCATTTCCAAATAGCAAAGGATGTTTTTCCAGAATTAATTCTCCCAGCAAGTGAGCTCCACCTTCTGCCATGCTTGTTCCTTGTTCCATGCCACATTACATTGTGTATACTGATGTCATCAAATTGCGAGATGACAAATCCTTATCATAAGTAGGAATTATACCAGTATATCATGAACAGTATGATGTGGCACAGTCCTAATGAGGTGTCATGGATCTTGCTCTGATGATGAAGCAGAGGAGAGAAAGGAGATAAGAGAGGAAGTATGTGGGAGAAACAATTAGGGGACAGATGGAGGTTGAGGTAGAAGGGCTGCAGATCGCCGGCTCAGGCTTAACTCCTTGATTGCAGCTGTTTGGTTACATAAGTGAAACCCACTTGCAACCACTTACTTCCTGAGGACACAATGATTGGATGGATAAAAGTGCCATTCTGTTCACCTTAAAAGTGGTGGCATTTCTATTTATAGACTGACTTATGTCTATATAATTCCTCTTGTCCTTCTGTCAGCTGCTTCACTGGGCTTCTTTTTTCCTTTGATTGGCCATTGTACATCACCAGCTGTTCCTGTCTTGATGGTTTTGACCATGCATTGAGCCATGGATAAAATTACATTTAACTGATTTACAATGGATTTCCCAGTGAATATGGGAATCAGTAGTGAATGAATGCCTGCAGGTGCTCCTGGAAAGCAAGCTGCCATCTAAATCTTTGTTGCTCTTCTCTGTTCGCTGCCTGCTGTGTTTTTCATTACACTGACTGTGACACGTGTTTGAAGTGTGAGTAGAAAGAAACATCTGATGGGATGGTACTAAATGGGTGCTCAAATTGGCCACAAAGAATTTAGTTTTTTCCCAGAAGCAGGTAGCTGAGGAAAAGTGGAGATTCCTTATATAAATATCAAAGAGGAGAAGAAGAAGAGGAGGGAGACAGACCTGGTTCTTATTATAAGTGCATACCAGGCTTTGTTCACTGTAAAAACAAACCCTGTCATGCTCCTGAGGCTATTACAGTTAACTGAATAGAAAGATGATCGGATGGGAGATCAAAAAGGATATGTGCAGGTAGTGATGGTGGAGGAATGATCACAGAGCTTGTGTGTGTAGATTGGCATAAGAAACATCACTATTTGTATTGAACCCTGTATGTGTGTGTGCTGTGCTGTCTACTTTTAGGTTTGTGTGTTTTACAAGTACACTGCCCATCTTTTTACAAGAACTGGTATGCTATTTTTGCTAGCCTTATTCAAATATCTAGCTATTATCTACACCTGAATGCATCATTCCTATAAATTAAGTTTTGTATTTACTTGGATGCAGAACAAGATAGGTTTTGTCTTTTAGGTTAAATTGTGGTTGCAGTGGCATTGACATGGCATGGCATGCAATTGCTGAAGTGCTGTGAGGCTCAACCACTGTGGTGTGCTGGCTTGTTTTTTATTGCACTCCCTCTTTTCCAGTATATTATATGATTAAATTACAGCTGGGCGGTGTTCACTTGAACTGTTTGTTTGAGGTTTGTTTTTTAAATGATTTTGTGCATGAAAAAGAAAAGGGAGAAATAGATCTTCTGCCTGTATGACTGATTGCATCTGTCTGTGCTTGTTTGTTTGGCTGAGTAAATTTAAGTCTTCTTCAGGTGACCATCAGGTCTCAGCTCGACTTCAGCCTATGAATTCTGATTTCCCTGTTGACTAATCAGATAAGACCCTCTGCTCTGGTTTCTGGGGATCAAACAATCACACACCACCATGTTAGCACCATGGAAATGGCTCAGCCCATAAACTCATCTCTTCCTCTTCACTGTCTGAAGTTAGAGCTCTGCTTTATATTGAACCTTGATGATAAACTGCTCATGAGAAATATACAGTATGTTATAGAGAAACAAATTCTGCCCAAACATTTCAAAAATAAGCTTCTATTAACTGTATTTTTAATAATACTGTTCCAAAAATATTTTTGAGCAAAGCAGGCAAAGGGAAAATCTTTATATAACCTGAGTGGAAAGTCAGTATCAACACACAAAATTTGTATGCCTTTGCACCGGTGACAGCCATGGCCAGAGGCAGTTTGTTTTCAGGATGTCTGTCTGTCTCATTGTCATGAATGTGATATTTCAGGAACACCTTCTGGGGATTGTTTCAGATTTGACACAAACATCCACTTGGACTCACAGATGAACTAATTAGATTTTGGAGGTCAGAGGTTAAGGTCACTAACCTCACATCTGTCCCATTTTCATCAGACAGTAATCTTTGCTGATGGGGCTATATGAATGATGCAGTTGCTTTTAGCTGAATAACATACTGTAAACCTGAAATAAATGCAGGGCCTGTTTATGAGAGACACAAGACACTTCAGGAAAACATGTTGAATTCAAAGTTATGTTTTTGTTCAGAGTATTGTCTAAAATGTCCGTTTCTTAAAAAGGATGTGAAGTGACTTCTGCGGTTGAAATGTGGAAAAATACACTACCAGACAGATATTTATACACTTTCTCATTAAATTGAATGAGAAAATGTGTCCAAACATTTGACTGCTAGTGTGGGTGAAAGTTAAAGAGCCTCTTTCAGCATTTCAGAATTGAAAGAAATCAAAAATTGTGATGTGTGTCTAAGAAGTCTGACAGCTGACCATCAAAAGGAAGGCTGAACTTTGTTTGTGTATTAGAAGGGCCCTCCTTTCCAGAGACTGGTTTGCTTGTCAAACAGCTAGAGATGAGATGTTCACTGGTCCAGAGTCCTCCCACACACAGCTGTTCCCAGATAATCATCCTGTGTGAGTGTGTGTCATCTCATATGTGCAGGCTTATGCATGCTTGTTTATGATATGTTTATACAGTATGTGCTTGTGTTTGCATAGTCACTTGTGTATCCTGGCACAGAGTTGTATGTGTTACCTGTGTGGTTCTTGGTGTGTGTGGCTTGTTTGTTTGATTTTTGGCACTTTGTGTGTCTCCATCTATATCCAACAACTCCATGCCTGTTCAGCTGCTCTCTCATCCTATTAAGAATTCTCCTCACAAAGGAGCTGCTTGTCTTTGTGTGTTTGGAGATCGCAGCCTGGCTCTTTCATTGAGTCAACTGGGACTCTGCATGGTCAAAGCCTGCATCAGATTTGTTTTTATATTGCAAACTGATATATCCATCATCTGAAAAAGAGCAAAGGCAGCCACTGTGCTAGATCTTTTTGCACTTTTCCAGCACAATAGAGAGGTCAAAGATCGGGATCAATCAGCATCCTGTGAAGAAAACTTCATTCAAATGCCCATACCATGCTCATATCCTGTCAGGTCCGGTCGGCGCGTTCTGGCTCTCTTCCTCCTTTCTCTCCCCTGCTTTCTCATCCCACGGGCTCAGAGACACAGCTGAGTCGCATTTGCCTGTTGATTGACTCCTGGGCGTGGTGCACAGCTGACGCTTGTCTCTACTAATTCAACCACTCTTACATAAACCCGTGGCAGACGCTCCTTTGTCACTGGAGCATTATATGTTATCAAGACATTATGTGAGTTCAACGCTGACAGTTTCCTGTGCAGTTGATTTATTTTTTTTCAATACACATGTTCAGCCATACATAACATGATTTCAATGCTGACAGTTCCTATGCTATTGATTTCAGTTCCATAGGTATCTGACGGTGAGCGCAATAATGAGCACTACGCCTGCCCTGTCTTCTCGTTTCTGTGTCCCTCCTTTCATTTCACCTGTCGCCGTTCTCCTGTCTGCTCGCCTTCCTTGGTCGTCTTCTCACCTGCCCGTCTTGGTCTCCCCAACCACCACTGCTCTAGCCGGGTTATGGACTATACATATACTCAGTGATTTTGTTTTGTGTTCTTAATAAATCCATTTTTTTTCCACTAGCACCTGGGTTTGCACCTTGAGTCCTCCCTTTTTGTTCTCCCTCACCCCCTTGATGAGGGGACTCAACCATCACGTTTCCAGCCATTTAGTTTTTAATCTTGTGTACCTCTAGATTAGCTCTGCACCCATCATAACTCCAAGTGGTCTTAATTATTTCAGAATGATAAAACCAAATATCACAAGGAGAGCCTCCTCCTGAAAATGAGAGGATAGTTCGTGAATGCGCACAACTCCTGTTGCTAGTCAGGAACCTACAACAACACATAAATGAAAAACTTCAACAAATAAGATACATTTTTGACAACACCAATACCTCAAATCCTACCTGACATGTTTGAGCCAGGTAAACAACGGTATATGTACTGATGGAAAGAGATTTGTAACACTCTAAACAAAGCAGGTAATTGAGAAACCCCATATTTTAACATGTGTTTTTTTTTTTAACTTACTATTATATCCCACAGAGTAGTAGAAACATCGCTCCCTTTCAGGTAGCTCCAAGGTCATGAAATCCAGCTGGTGATTGCTGCTTCTTTCTCCACAGGACCACATACATTGCCAAAGTAGTAGTTAAATTAATTGCAACAGGTAGTGTTACACTGACGATAACTTCAAAACACAGAAAAGCATGCCATGGGCTCTTTAAGGCAGATGATTGCTGTCACAGAGGCTTGAATCTTGGTCTTCCAGTTTGAAGACAGTATGACTCATTATGCTAACTTGATGCTGAGATCATAAATCTATTATATTGGTATTTATTGGCTAACAGAAATGAGTGAGTTGTATGTGTGTTTTGCGTATATGAAACTGTATTTTGGTCCCATCTAATTCAGTAGACAAGGTGTTATTCCCCTTGTTTTAATCCTCTTCAATTAAAATCTTCAGGTCCTCATTTCTATTCTTTGTAGAAAGACATTCAATCCTAACAGTAGTTAAATGTTAGTCATTTTATAGTAGGCCTTTTGTAGCAGCATCATGAATAATTGATAGCTAAATTATAGGCTCAATAATAAGTGTATTTTATGTTCCACAATGATTCCTACTGAGTTTGAAATAAATTTCTGCTGTTCCTTTGCTTGTGTCCCCAGATGGCCCAGTGATCTGGCGGATGCTGACCTACCCCCCAACTCAGCGAGCCCTCTTGGTGGGCTGCGGTCTTCAGATGTTGCAGCAGCTCTCGGGAATCAACATAGTCATGTGAGTGTAAACGTCAGCCTATTTTACTCCTCCATTGTCCAGCACTAGTAGCCAAAGATACTTTTTCTGACAGACTGTGAGCGCTGGTCTAAGCATTAAGCTCCCATTACCTTCTGTAGTAAAGCTTCTGTGATCTTTCCTTCATGTGAGAGCTGGGGCCTTTACTACAAAGCTCACGTTTAATCAGGCTACATTGCCACGGTAACTTATGGCGCATGGCTAACCTGCTCTGGAGTAGGTTAACTTCAGAAGATCAGATCAAAACCTGACAACAACCTGAGCACTGACCAGTCAGGTCACTGGAAAAACCGAGGGTTCATTCCCACTGGATCATGATCAGTCAGATTGCTTTACTGTTTCAAACTTTGATGGGTCACTCTGGTTTAAAGCAGACTTTCTAACAAACTGCAGGAGTCTACAGCCTCCATGATAATCAACAGTTGGCACAGAATAAAAAATAAACATGGATTTGTGCTTGCACTCTCACCTGGCTTCATCAGTTTGATGTTGTGCCTGGTATAAGTTAAAGGAATACCTAGAGAACACTAGAGGACCAAATTCCTGACTGCTAATGTTTTTACAGTCTTCCATCACTGCAGCTCAGAATAACATGAGTACAATCTGTAATGATGGTCATTGATTAGAAAAAATGATCCATCCCATGGTTTATTGTTCATAATTCACCCACCATAACATCACTTTTGCTCTGGCTCTAAACATTTTTGCCCACAGGTATTACTACTCCATCTCATGTTACAGTATATTCAGTAGACTACTTCATTCATGGTTCTGGCAATGTCACTTCTAATTAACAGCTCCACCTCTTTCACACAAATGTGCTTATAGACTGATAGGAAAACTTAAACTTAACAGGGCCAGTTGACCAGGTTTGTGGTACCAGTTTCCAGGATGGCCCATGTTAGGGTCCTTCCATAGTCCAAAGACATGCAGCTTAGGCTTTCTGGCAACTCGCCCAGAGGAGTGATTGTGGGTGTGTGTAGTTGTCTGTCTCTAAGGGCCCTATCTTGCAACAGACACATGACATGTGGCATGGGTAGCGTGTTTGTGGTTTCTAATTTCCTACCTGCACAATTACCGTTTTCATGACATGCACATCACTTTGATTTTTAACAAGCAGCAGTCTGTTGACTTCACGCCAGCAGGTGTATCCAGATGAAAATTGGATGTGTCCAAGTAAATTTTGGGCGTGTTGGTAATATGAGGGCATACAAAATGACTGCACCACTGACCAGCAAAAACCAGGTCTGTGGTCAACAGTCAAATCCATCATTGCTAGTTAATGGGCACTTTGACTGTGTTGTGATGGGCGCCTGTCTAGGTGTGTGCACAATGCTCATGCACTGTGCTTGTTATACCCTGGGAGGAACTGCGCAGGACATGCAAAACTTAAAAATAAAGAGATGACATTGTGTTCATTGGGTGTTGTGCACATCAATACAGTATATATATTTTAAAAAATCCCCACTCGCCCCCCACTTCAGGGCAATCTTATTCCTTCAAGCTCGGGTCCTCTACCAGAGGTCTGGTAGCTTGAGGGTCCTGCACAGTATCTTAGCTGTTCCTAGGACTGCACTCTTCTGGACAGAGATCTCAGATGTTGTTCCTGGGATCTGTTGGAGCCACTCTCCCAGTTTGGGGGTCACAGCCCCCAATGTTCCTATTACCATGGGGACCACTTGTGCCTTCGTCCAGTTGGTTGGCCATTACCAGTTTGTCAGTTTGTATCTTGAAGTCCCACAGGATCTTAGCTTGGTCATTCTCAACCACCTTTGGAGGTGTATCCCATTTTGACTTTGGGACTTCCAGCCTGTACTCAGCACAGATGTTTCTGTACACTATGCCAGCCACTTGGTTATGGCGTTCCTTGTATGCCCTGCCTGCTAGCATCTTGCACCCCGCTACTGTATGTGCTGGATTGTCTCTGTGTCATCTTTGCACAACCAGCACCTGGGGTCCTGTCTGGTATGGTAGACCCCTGTCTCTATTGATCTTGTACTTAGAGCCTGTTCCTGTGCTGCCAGGATTAGTGCCTCTGTGCTGTCTTTCAGTCCAGCTTTGTCCAGCCACTGGTAGGATTTTTCGATATCAGCCACTTCTTCTATTTGACGGTGGTACATACCCTGCAGAGGTTTGTCTTTCCATGAAGATTCCTGCTCTTCCTTCCCTTGTTCCACTGGTTTCTGCTGCCTGAGGTATTCACTAAGCACATCGTCATGCTATATATACAGTATATATTTAGAATAAATACCATTTTGATTAGTGATCATGTGCCTTCACCTCACGTACAAGCAGATCTGTTTCCTCAGTGGAAAATACTAGAAATCCATCAAATGTTCAATCTCACACATCTCTTAAAGGGGATGTGAGGTTACACACTGATTGGATAATTGCATGGTACACCCTCACATCTCTTAAAGGGGATGTGAGTTTTCACACTGATTGGATAATTGCATGGTACACCCAAAACACACCGCTGGTTTAATGAGGAGATCAAGTACAGCCCTATTGCTACTTGCATGGGTGCTTGAACCGTTTTTCCTTGTCGTCAAATTACTGAAATGAACATGGACACACGCAAACACCACTTGCACCAAAACATCTTGATCAAATGCCATGGATCCTCAAAATAGGGCCCTAAGTGTCAGCCCTGTGATAGCCCGGCAACCTGTCCAGGGTGTACCTCGCCTCTCGCACAATGTAAGCTGGGAGAAGCTAAAGAAAATGAAGTCACAAAGATGATTAAAATAAAAGGGAGCAGAAGTAGGTTGATAACAGATCATATATTCAAATGCATTCAGTCTAGCTGTAACATGTGAAATCAAACACAGGATCAAACTTCAGTCTACTGAAGCTGACACAGAGTAATCTATTTCTCTGCTGGAAAACTAGAAAATATAAATTATTGGCAAAATATCTAACATTGAAGGACATGTTAGCAAAACCCTGATGAGCTATTACTGTTTCTTACCGGTGTGAATGTAATTTAACTACAAATTAAATACAGTACATACAGTATGCTACAACAGTTCAGATGAACAGAGCAGTTGAAACTAGGTTTAACTTCATATTTTGTCACTACATCAATGTCATCTACTTTTTACCTGTTACTGACACAATGGATAAAATGATTGTTGCTAACTTCCAGAGTTGTAAAATCAGTTTTATAAACTGCTGTGTGCTGATCTCATAAGTTTTGACACTCATCTATCTGTTACTCAAGTCTGCCTTCCTGGATTGTGTTTTATTGTTTCACTTGTACTTGAAGCAATGCATGCACAACGACATAGCCCCCTTGCAGTTTTAAAGTTGAGCCTATATTGTTGCTAGATCACACTGCCATTGGAGTAGAAGGTTCAAGTGTATTTTTTATGTTTTTCACTCTTAAGGCCCTTTCACACCAGACG